TCCAAATCCCATTTTATACACCTAATTTGCATATTTCTAGATGTTTCTCGAATCATCTCGATTTTTCACGAATATACTAGAATGATCTAGAATCTTCCAAACATTCTATTTCTAATTTCTCTATTTTACAACTACTTCATGAATGAAAACTTTTTTGTAATAACAAGTAGAACTCAGTAGAATCCCTTATTATAGAAATGCATCCTCGTAACAGTAGTATCAACACCTACACCCTCCCTATAACTTTCAGAAAAAATGTAACAATTTGTTTTAAAATTTCCCTAAAAATCATTTTATCAGCAGTTACCAAGCATCGCCTAAGGAAGTACAATCATAGTATTGAAACATGAAAGCTTTTGTGTAGCGATTTCAAATAGTTTTATTATAATATATAATAATAAAGATATAATAATAATATATTGCTCTACTTTGTATTAAGCACTTTTTGCTACCTCGATGGCTATAATCTTCTAATATTCAAGTGTAATGTCAATCGACATCTGACACCCTGAGCTTCTTCCCAGTCTTTCTCTGTATCCTTTCCTCAAACACGCCTCTTTAGTATTGTTCTCAATCCTTTGCTACGAACTTTGGATTTTTATTTCATTTGTTCTTTCTCTCATTTGTATATATATATATATATATATATATATATATATATATATATATATATATATATATATATATATATTTTTTCAGATAAATTATAATAAAACAATTATTGCTCTACTATGGTTATTGAGCCCTCTTTTGCATTAATGATGTGAACGTTAGAATTTATATATTATTTTCTTTCTCATTATATTCATATATATATATATGCATATATATATATATATATATATATATATATATATATATATATATATATATATATATATATACATATATATATATATTTATATATATATATATATATATATATTTCTAGAGAAGTGGTGGGTTTTTTTTATTTCGTAATCCGACAGATTTTATCTCTTTAAACGTTATTTTTAGTAGATACTTGTATCTGAGTAGACGCTCCGTTTATTCATTAAACAATATATTTATTTATTTTTATCTACCGGCCTGAATATTTGAGAAATCTTTTAAAATTGCGTAATTGCTATTACATCTCTTTCCACTGCATTCTTTTTTTTTCTTCCCAATTACAGTATCTGTATCGTTAGCTTCACGCAAGGTTGTTTTCTGTTGCCATAGCAGGATATGACAACACAACCATGAAATTCAAATGAATTTAAATTCAGAGATCGGAGTCGCGTTCAGTGACAGGATAAACCTTTTGTAGGGCAAATGAAGTCATATACGGAGTGAGAAAGGTTAAAGAGAAATAGGCACTCTTTCGTTGGATTCGAGACTGCGTCCCCCTGAGCAGAAAGAACCGTTGTGCTCTAGACTGACTAAGCTACGAAGAACTTGACACACCCTGATATTTGTAATGCTGTGTTTAGTCTGGCACAAGGCCAGCATTACTGAGCTACTCGGTGAGAATCGAAATTATATACACTAGCTTACTAAGATGTTAAGCATCGGTTAGGATTAGGGGCTCTATTTAAATTAGCTGTGTTACAGTGTGCAAACCAAGAGGTACAGGGTTCAAGATGATTTCCCGTCTGGTTGAATTAAGCTAAAAAAAAAACTATCCAACCAAAATGAACACTTCTGTTTCTACGTATAACCGAAGTGTCTACACAATACCGAAAAAGATAGTGCAGCGTCAATTGTCCAAACGGAAAGAAACTATTGCAAAAATAAGCCCCAAAAAACTCGGTTTTAACCTAGACTCGAATGCCGACCGCTATTACCGGTAGACAATGCACAATTATCTAAGCCTCAACAACTGCTCCTGCTATATATTTAGAGATTCTTGATAAAATACAAAGAAGAATCTGCAATGTTATTTGTCCTCACCTGGCATCTCAGTATCAGTCTCTTTCCCACAAGTGTAACGTAGCTTCCGTGTGTCTTTTCTATAAATATTTCATGGTAATTGTTCTTATAAACTTTCCTCTATGGTACCTAGACTTTTCTCTATGGTACCTAGACTTTATGAATTTGAGCGCAGTACGAGATTAGCGGCAAAATCTCATCATTTTACTGTTTAAATTGCTATATGTAACCGTAAGTTCTATGCTAACCTTTTCTTCTAGGACACTTCTCTCTTGTGGAATTATCTCCCAGCTTCTTGTTTCCCAGTCAACTTTGAATTTCAAAAATTTAAATGCAATGTCAATCGTTAACTTCTGTCTTAATTCTTGTTCTTTTATTTCCCTCCGTCTTTTATAGTAGTTTTTCTCGTATTCTTTAACATTCAATAACACCTTGCGTCGTAGTGGCTTTATTGCCTTGATTGGGATGAAATGATTAAAAAACTGGGCAGTTCGTTTTTTCTGTCTGTCTCTCTCTTTCTCACTCTCTCTGTCATTCACTCTCTCTCGCTCTCTCTGTCTCGCGCGCGCGCTCGCTCGGTAAACTTTCGACGTGGAAACAATGTTCCGGTGAGCAGCATCTCATTCCGAGAATATTTTCCAATTACATATCATTGGTTTGTACTTCATTTCCCGATCTCCGGTTCGGCTTGTGTTGGATAGCTGAGCAGAGTGTGGAAATTGATGCAGACACCCCGAGGGTGAATCAACGGGAGACACTGAACACTAGAAGTGAATTGCTCACCGATTTCTCTAAATTGTGTAAATTTGAGGGTAATTCAGTAAAGATGTGAATTAATCCGGAGCGTCTGAGGGTAAAAAGCGGCATGACTACACACATACACACACACGCACGCGCGCACACACACAAAAACACACACAAAAACACACAAATATATATATATATATATATATATATAAAAGATATATTTTTACGTTATATTCAGCTATATTTATGGGTTAAAGTGCTCACTATCGGGGATAGACCGTATGTAAATATAAAAGTGGATATTGAAGTCAACACCCAGAAGCGACAGTGTGTTTCATGCTAAACGCAATCGTCAGGCCATGGTCTCTGAGTGTGGACTTCAATGTCCACTTTATATATATATATATATATATATATATATATATATATATATATATATATATATATATATATATATATATATATATATGTGTGTGTGTGTGTGTGTGTGTGTGTGTGTGTGTGTGTGTGTGTGTGTGTGTGTGTGTAAGGGTCTGAAGAAATGAATATTTAAATATATTCATGAAATAAATTATAACCGAAATGGATATTTAAGGATTGTCTTTATATATATATATATATATATATATATATATATATATATATATATATATATATATATATATATTCCCTAAATGCAACCAAATGGCTAAATATCGTATGTTTGCGTAAGCATCAATTTTTGATAGGGATGTAAATTTTTTCTGCATATCTCTCTCTCTCTCTCTCTCTCTCTCTCTCTCTCTCTCTTTATACATAAATTCCATCAGAGGACGAAATGCATCGGCTAAGATAAGTTTTCTTTTGTCTTTATTCATATTATCCTTTTACAGATTTTAGTTATATCTGAAACTTTGCACGTACACATACACACATACACACACACACATGCACACACACGTACGCACACATACATGCACACACACACACACACACATATATATAGTTTTACAATATGGTATATTTATGGGTAAATGTATTCAATATCAGAGATAGAGCGTATCTAAATATGAAAGTGGACACTAAGGTCGACACCAAGCGGCAACAGCCTGTTTCATGCATGAACGCAATTTTCATACCATGAAGTTTATGTTCAATCATAAAACAGAGTGACGCCTCTTGGTGTTGACCTTAGTGTCCATTATATATTGTATACAAATTGCATAATGGATGAGAGAGAAACATGTAAAATCTGAAACAAAAGTTCAGTATCCAATTGCAGGTAAGAAAACAAATTCCTTCTACGCAACCTACAACAACATTAAATTAAATACGATTAAATAATATCCCATGACTTTAAATAGTGTCTGCTAACTTAAATTTAATAAGCGTTTGTTTCAAAACACCAGAATTTAGTACCGAAGAAAATATCTAAAAAATAAAAAATAATTAATGGAATTCGACATATAAATAAGAATATATAATTACAATTTGAAAACTAAATGCCAGGATTATTAATAAACAACAACAAAAACTAAAAGAGCGGAGAAATACCAGTTTCCCTTCCACAAATACTCATTAGCCTATATATATTACATAATACATGTATTATACATTAGACTATATAAACTACATTATGCATTAGCCTATATATTACATTATGCCTTATACATTAGCCTGTAGATATTAGATTATACATTATACATTAGCCTATATATATTACATTATACATTAGCGAATATATATATTATATTATACATTATACATTAGCCTATATATATTACATTATGCATTCACCTATATATGTTACATTATGCATTATATTATACATGCATTATACATTAGCCTATATATCCTATAGATATATATATATATTATACATTATATATTAGCCGTAGCCATATGTTACATTAATATTACATTGTTATCCTATAGATAGATATATAGAGAGAGAGCCAGCAAAAGGAGTGTGATGTTCGCGTTAAGCGTGAAATCTACATCTACGCTCTGTACCCGATATTGAGTACTATCAGCTTGTAAATAGAGCAAATATTAAACATTATTGACAGTGGAAAATATAATATCCGCAATGGAGTTAAGGGATCATAATGTATATACGGTAAACACGCATGCGCGGACGTTTGTGTGTCTTCATCTGGCAGATGAAAGAGAGTGACAGTGAGAGTTGAGTAGTAAATGATTAAAGACTTCTTATGCCATGGCACACAGCCAACCATTCAAGAAAACACAAGAGAGGGAAAGCAAAGGAAAAACATGGCCGACACGGTCATTAGTCAGCCAGTGGGAAGGGAACAGGAACTAAAATAGGGACATTAATATCTACAAACTTGTATTTCAGAAAAAAAACAGATATTTATTTTTAGTTATAAAGATAGATAGATAGATAGATAGATAGATAGATAGATAGATAGATAGATAGATAGTGTTATGGTCCGGTTCTTTGTACCACGGTGACAGTCCAAGGTAGAACCAATAAAGAAGAACTCGAACATGGATATGGAATAACACAGATATATTACAAACAGAAATATATACAAAGAAGTAGAAAAAGTGTTAGTACGAACAATCAGGTTTTGTAGTAATTGTCTGAACACGACTCTGTTTCGGACTGCCTCTGACTCGACTGACTGACTGACTGACTCGCTCTCTCTGACTGACTGACGGACTTCTGACGGACCTCACTCCAGACTTCAGACTGAACGGTATTTAGTCACCCCCACACGAGGGCATCATGTGGCGCAAGGCCGGTTTAACGTGGGATTTCCGAGCCCGTGGGCTAGGCCAAAAATATGCCCTTTGAACCCGTATAAACGCGTTCAGGGTCGGTTTACCACCCCGAAAGAGACTCCGCCCTTCGGCGTAGCCTCGTTCGGGTTCCACCCCGCCACAAAGGCTTAGAGTTCAACCGATCAGCCGGTCAGCCGGTCGCCCGACTTCGGGCTGAACTCTCTGCTTCCTCTTGAGGCGCCGTATTTATTATGTATGGAATAGTCAATTATGTTATTATGGGTAAGGTCCCATAACAGATAGATATGAATAGATATAGATAGATAGATAGATAGATAGATAGATATGAAGAGACTGACTAGATAGATAGATAGATAGATAGATATGAAGAGACTGAGATGCATAGATATGAACAGACTGAGATAGATAGATAGATAGATAGATAGATAGATAGATAGATAGATAGATAGATAGATATGAACACAAGGATAGATAGATAGATAGATAGATAGATAGATAGATAGATAGATAGATAGATAGATATGTCCTCAGAGATAGTAATTTCTAGTACACCTGTCTGCTGGTGCGGCGTCGCTAATCCTTGTTACAGACACTTGCCCCATTACATTCGTGTTTTTTTCCCGTGCCCACAGAGTGGTTTAGATTCTTTGCTGAAATTTCTGACCTGAATAATGAAGAAGAAAGGCCTGGAGAACTTAACATTCATAAGACACATTAAAGGCAAGAGAATCTGGGAGAAACAGCGAGTGTCCTTGTCAACGATTTTGCTGGAATGGATGGCAAAACTAGAACAAAGACGGTAAAAAGTCAATGCCTACTCAGCGCCCCCAAAATAGCAGGTTGTTGTGGAGAGACAAAAAACCTGTCTCTTCAAACACAAGCATTTTTATTGAAAATCTATGAACCTTTCTACTAAACATAATTGGATTTTTCTAAAGTCTAACATCCTCTTTTTGGCAGTGAATGCTGTTTTAACGATAGAGATGTGTCGACGAATATTTAGATTACCATGGACGCGATAGGGAAGTCTTAAGGGAAATGAGGAGTAAAAATTAATCTACTTCCAATCAGAAGGAGGAAATTGAAATTTATGGTACGCATAATGAGGAAGGAAGGTCTGGAGAATCTAACACACGCATGATATATTAAAAGGAACATAATCAAAATGAAACTGTAACCAACCTACTTAACGATTTCGCAGGAATGGAGGGTAAAATTGGACAAAAAGAGAGGGTAAATGTTAACCCCATCCCCGTCGTAGAAATGTATATTCGTTTTTTTTTTGGGGGGGGGTGTCTTTTTGTTTTTTGGTTTGTTTTTTTTTACTGCAAGTGTCTTTATCAGACACGGACGAATAAACACGTCCAAAAATACGTTAAAAAATATCTACAGACGTGTTTATACGTTGATTTTTTTTTATGCCCTTCTGAGCTTGAAACGAATCTAATTGTCAACTCATACATCTGGTAGAGCTGTTGGCCACCGCTCAGGTACTTCAAGGTACCCCAGTTTCTCAGTTACTATATTAAAAACAAATAAAAACATTTCGTCTGAAAATGCAACGTTTTTCCCAAATAATTAGCGGTTTAAAGAGGTTAATATGTCAAAATTGCTTAGAGTAACAAAATTCAGGTGGTTGCAGAGAACCTTGATCTCACACGTCCTGAAAGGATAATGCCCATAAAACAAGTATTTATAATGTATTCATGGCAGAAGTACTTTTACAGAAAATCTTTTATCAATATTAAACATTTACGTTAATTTCACAAAAAATTACTTTAGTTTCTGAATCCACAAAAAAAGACTTGTTTTTAAAAACGAACAATCTTAGCTTTCATCAAATTGTTTAGTATGAAAAACGGCATATTTATATATATATATATATCCCTCCTGTTTACAGACTACAGCTGGATGCAACTCAGATTTATTTTAATAATCCAAAAGCCAGGAATTCTTAGATTAATCTTAGAATCCTGTAGCAGTTCGTTTGCGTCTTAATTCCATGTTCTGTCAAAATTCTTCGATTACGCAATGCTTAGGTTCCTGATTATTCCAAAAGCACTTTTTTTTATTTTCGAATTCTAGCAATTTTTACAATTAAATAAAAGATATACAAAAAGCGATGTCGTAAACGTTTCCAGAAATATCAAAGCTGGAAAAATGTCCCATAATAAAATACCATCATACAAAACTATATTGAAGATTTTTGTGATGACAACGAATAGTCGTTGTCACTTTCGTAATGCTCGTTGTAGTAGAGACTTTGTAATCGCGGATAGAACTATAGTACGCCGTATAACAATACTGGTGTCATACACCTTCGAATATCATTCGCACTAATTTTCGCACTAATTAGTACTTGGGTTTGATAATACACGCTCAAATAGTAATCCGTATAGTGAAATAGTATAGTGAACAGTAAAAAACAGCGAGCCGTATAGCAATAGAGGATAGAGTCGAAATAGAGATCCGAATAGTGATAGAGGATAGGCTAGAAATAGAGATCCGAACAGTGATAGAGGAGAAATGTGATAATATTTATTGTACTAATGTAGAAATAGGGCACAAGGCCAAAAAAAGGGGAAAGGAGAAAAGGATGGTCTTCTTCTGTCTTAACATTAAACTTAGCTAGCCGCAAACTACTGACCCAAACATACAAACAATATTCCTTTCACCAAAACAACACATTCTTACTTACCATTCTTACCTCATACACCACAATGCCTCAGAAACTCTATGAAGTCCAAACTAGTCCCCATATATACATAGACGAGAAATGCGATCATTTAGACGTCACGTGATTTCCTATATATGCGTTTCCTCTATGGTCACGTGGACACTTAATTCGATAATGGAATCGCTTGTGTTTGCTCACTGTTCAAACTCAAGTGATGACAGCAACACTTTATTCCTATATAACAAAGATATACTTTCAAATTATTCATTTTTTTATAGCTGTCGAAGCTATCACTTTGAAAAATCTATTGGGACTCGAAATTACCCCAGGGCTCAAGTAGAACTCATAATTCATTCATTATGAAATGGGCAAAGTCCGACAATTATTTTAAGACATTTTTATGTTTATACGTTCTTTTTATAGATACAGATATTTAACTAAATGCTCTCTTTATAATAAACAGTATTAACGACATTTACCGGCCTGAATGTCCGAGAAATTTTCATAGAAAATATGCGTCCTCCGACAGAAATCGAACCTGTATCCTATACGAAATTGTCATATAACCTGATGTGCTTTACCGATTGAGCCACAGAGGAGCGTTTCGGTTAGCAAGGTCAATTTTACTGTTTTTAAACTACAATTTTCTCTCGTACATTCATATCTGCTCGATGCGTATCCAAATGTAAACAAATGACGTCACACATTATGAAATGGACAAAGTCCGATAATTATTTTAAGACATTTGAAAAGAACGTATAAACATAAAATTGTTAACCGAAACGCTGTTGTTGAAGGTATAACATTTATTGCATTTACTTACGCGCTAATACCCTTGGGAAAGTTATAAATCCCAGCTCTTTCCCCCAGCTATGAGTAAATAGTAGGACAAGCTGGGTCCTATAGCCATGGGTGGCGACCAGTCTAGAAGAAAAACTCTGAATTTAAAACTATATGTAGCCCTGGCAAAGCACATACTATACAGTTGAGGAAAGGATCGGTCGCATTGACTCTATGATTCCGACTACTGTCGACTCATTTTTTAAGGCATAAAACTGCGTTGAAAATAATTCGAGTTCGGCATTAAATCACCCATAGAGATGTTGATATGCCACTAAACAATATCAACCAGACAAATATATGCTTACTTTCCTGTCTTGACAAAGTTCAGAATTGCTAACATGCGGTTGTAGCTGATGGCGTCTTCCACTCTACAACCTCTTTCCCCATAGACGCAACGTAGCATGCCTAACGCTATTCTATCGCTATTCCCATAATAAATGTTCAGATGAACTCGACTATTTAATTTCACCAGTTCATGTTTTACAGCTAGGACACGCCTTACTATGTCCTCGGAATCGAGTCATAATCATTTTGTCCCTATTCCAACTGTATAGTAAATGATCCGCTAATTTTATCCAAGAACTTCCACCTCACGGAAAGGAATTCCATATGGATGTTTCCTTTAACACTACGGACATAATCGTTCAAGAAATTCATTCTTAGGCTGATCCTAACCGAAGACATATCAACATTAAAAGTTATCCAAAGATTGCTTGAGAACTTCAATCCAGATATGAGTAGATGTTTCGGCAAAAACAAAGAGTTCGATAAAGCAGGTTATATGAACAAAGGTTCCATATAACCAATTTTAATTCAAAAGCAAAAACAAAACATGGAGATGCGCTGGTAGTGCAACGGTCATCGGCGTGGAAAATGCAATCATCGAGTTATGTTCAAATTCCAGACTGGTATGTTGCGCTCACTTTCACGCCAAAGCCCTTGCGAAAGACATTAATTAATCGCTTGCCCTTCCTTCCAAACCCTGGAATAAGCAACGGAAAATATGCTGTGGCATGCATTTCCAAAAATGCATGACGATTCACAGATGACAAAGAAAAAGAATCTGTACAGATTCATAATCGCCTACTTCCTGTAGGAGCAGTGTATTATTTTCATCATTTCACCCGAAGCAAGGGAATAGAGCCACTAAGATGCAAGGGATTACTGAGTATCAAAGAATCTAAGAAAAAATTATTAAAGATAGAAGCCAATTAAAGAACAATATTCAAGGAGGCAGATGATGAAAATTGACATTGCATTTAGATTGTTGAAGATCAAACTGTGTTAGAAAGCAAGAAGCCGGAAGAGAGATCAACAAGCGAAAAATAGCATAGAACTTCCGGTTACATCTAGCCATTTCAATGGTGAGACCTAACTGCCAATATATTACTGCGCTAAAATTCGTAAAATCGACTAGCCAAATATAAGGTAACCAAAAAAGTTCTGTCCGTTTTTTGATTAGTCATTGAATGAAGTTGAAATATACGAAATGCGTGTAGCAATTGTTTTTAAATTCGGACAGCCGGAAGTAGGAACATCAGACGTTATAAAAAACACGCGCACCGTGCCCGGCCATCAGTTATAAGCCGGACAGCTGTGAGAAGGATGGAAGTGTCTAGAGATCTCGTTCGGGGCTGTTTGCTTTACGACTTCAAAGTGGGCTTATCAGCAGCTGCATCAAGTCGCCTCATATGTCAAGCGTTTGGGGATAGTGCTGTGGATGAACGTACTGCAAGGCATTGGTTTCGAAAATTCAAGTCGGGGGATTTGTCTCTCCATAATGAGCCTCGCAGTGGACGACCACGGGTCTTGAATGACGGAGTCCTAAAGGCGGCCATTGAAGAGGACAGTAGTCTAACGTGTGGTGAACTTGCAAGACAGTTCAACGTTTCCGATGAAACAGTTAGACTTCACCTGCACCGCCTAGGTAAGACGTACAAACTGAGCAAGTGGGTTCTGCAAACGCTGTTGGAGGTCCACAAGGGACAACGAGTGGCAGCCTGCGTATCGCTGCTTTCTCGCCACCGTACCGTATTCAATCGAGTGCTTACCAGTGATGAAAAGTGGGTTCTGTACGAAACTCCCAAGGTTGTCTCCTCAGGATGCTGTCTCTCACACCGCAAGACCGCCTATGCACCCACGCAAGATTATGCTTTGTGTCTGGTGGACAGGTCGTCAAGTGGTTCATTATGAACTGCTACCAACGGGCCAAACGGTCACTGGAGACCTATACTCGCAGCAACTGAAACGTGTGCAACAGGCATTGCGCCAGAAGGAGCCAGGCCGCATGTCGTACGAGTGGGCAGGGATACCATACAGCAACTTGGGTGGGAGACTTTGTGCCATCCACCTTATTCACCTGACCTTGCGCCATCCGATTACCACTTCTTCCACTCGCTGGATAATCATCTTCGTGGGAAATCCTTCACCAATGAAGCAGACTTGCGCAAAGCCCTTACGGACTTCTTTGCGTCAACCCCCCGAGTTCTACCGCAAGGGCAATGAACAGCTGGAGACACGTTGGCAGAAGGTGCTGGATGCCGATGGTGATTACTTCAAAGACTAAATATAAGTTACACATACTGTAAAGTGTTTTCTTTTTTTTCCTTTAAAACAGACAGAACTTTTTTGGTTACCTTGTAGAAAAGCTCATCCGAAAAAATGTCACGAATTATTTAGCATTGAATGAGAAAAAGGCTAAAATAATTATCAGCGTTCATCATGTATAGCAATACAAACCGGTCCGGGTGATAGCTAAGAATAATGGAAGTACATTCAGAGACACGCCTATCTATGCGTGACATAAGCGATATTTCCTGATGTTATACGGCTGTTGACCAGAGCAGTCCCCTTAAAAAAAAAAAAATTAGTGATTTCTCTTGTTAAATTTTCTAGGATTAAATATTTTTTTATCTTGCTCTCTCTCCTGTTTCCCATAATGTTTTTCTTTTTCTCTCATTCTTTTACATTCATTAATTTCTTTCGTCTTAGAGGCTTTATTGCCTTGTTTAATGTGTAATTTTTTTAAATATGCCATCTATTCTTGCCGAAAAAATGATGTTTCATAGAATTTATACTTTGAATAATGATTCCGCAGTTTCAATAAAAAAAAATATACTTTTATTTTGAATACAATCATTATGAGTTTGATTAACGCGGGGATATTTTCTTTTAAAATATATTTTTATCTGTTTACTTAATTACATTGCAGCTGGTTAAAGTCGAATTGCTACTTTGTAATTTTGTCTAAACACACAAAACCGAAACACGCCACGCACTCATATATACATACATACATACATACATATATATATATATATATATATATATATATATATATATATATATATATATATATATATATAGGCTGTTTTCAGTTCCATTTTCCTATGTAAATATTTATTGGCGTCAGAAGGAAAAGATGCTCATATCTATGAGAATATGTAAACAGTCATATAACTTTTATTTACATCTAAAATCGACTAGGTTACATAAATATATGAATACATAAAGTGTTTATTCAACATTAAAAGTTATAGGCATGCATTACTTTTTAGATAGATAGATAGATAGATGATAGATAGATAATGAACAGCCATAGATAGATAGATAGGTAGATAGATACGAACAGACCAAGACATAGGCACAAAAATGGATGGAGAGAAAGATATTAACAGACATAGATAGATAGATAGATAGATAGATAGATAGATAGATAGATAGATAGATAGAAAAACAAATATAGATAGATAGATAGATAGATAGATAGAAAAACAAATATAGATAGATAGATAGATAGATAGATAGATAGATAAATACATAGATAGATAGATAGATAGATAGATAGATAGATAGATATGAAACTAGACGGAGAACAGACTGATGCGTATAAATGTATTAAAGTAGGTATCACGGATTTTGCAAACATACGATTATACCAAAAACTGCTGCGTAAGAGGGCGTTTTGAATTTTTTTCTTTTTAGTAAGACATTACCATTGCCAAATAAGTCGCAAGCATAATATGTCTCTCTTTTCTTTTTCTGCCTCTCTCTCTCTCTATATATATATATATATATATATATATATATATATATATATATATATATATATATATATATAGAGAGAGAGAGAGAGAGAGAGAGAGAGATGTGTGTGTGTATGTCTGTGTCCTAATAAATATTAATGTAAAATGTGCAGGCGTATATACAACAACATATCTTTTACAAAATATGCAAGCAATATATATAATATTATATACATACTACTCAAACGCCATTACAATGGACACTTCGTATTTGAAATAGAAGTCCGATCTTTACTTATTAAACAGTGTGTAATACGTCTGTCTATCGCCCTGTGCATTCGAGAAACGCAAGTAAAGAAAATCTGTTCTCCTACAAGGATCGTGCCCGCGTCCCGTTTAGCTGGAGAACCCAACGTTTGATCTGGTGTGCTTTACCGCTCGGCCACGTAAATCGTCATGGTAAATGAGTGCACATGCACACATGTACAGGCACACATAAAATCATACATATGGATAGATATAGACATAAACACAAAGAAGAAGAAAACAATCTGCCTAACACCAATAAAAATTTTTATTTTTCAACTTTTCTTCCACATAAAAATAACAAAAATGAGAAATTCTGCAGACCTTCACTGATACCTCCTGACGAATGTACCTATTACAGATGATCCGTCTACGAAACTCTGGAGTCGGGGTGCTGGACATAAAATCAGTGAGCTAAGTGACAGGTTTTATATTTCTATTAATCCTATATATATATATATATATATATATAAGGTAATGAAGGGTTTGGTAATTCCAAAGAGGATAATTCCAAAGAGGATGTAATCTAGAGAGCTCAATGTAGCAACAGAGCAAATATTAATTAAATAATTAAGAAAGAGACAATCTTAAGGTTACCTGACTACAATTTATTTCCCCAGAAAATATATTTTCCTGGTTCATCAGGTCACATCTCTAGTTCCAAAGATATTTAGTTTCTTTATTATATATATATATATATATATATATATATATATATATATATATTGGGCACCCCGAGTTGGTGCAATGGTTAGCAAGCTTGTCTCGCTAGAACAATGAATAGTGAATTCGATCCTCACTGGGCGCCCCGTACATTCGGGCTTGTGCCACATCGCAACGCATGGAAAAAAATGGGGCACCTCGAGGCGGTGTAGTGGTTAACAAGCTTGGCTCGTTAGAACAATTACGACTGAGTAGTGAGTTCGATCCTCATTGGGTGCCCCCTAATTTCTGCCTTGTGCCACATCCAAGCTACGCTTGGAAAATCACTATAGGGCACCTCGACGTGGTGTAATGGTTAGAAAGTTCGTTTTGCTAGATCAATTACGACTGAGTAGAGAATTCGATCCTCACTGGGTGCCCCCTAATTTCGGCCTTGTGCCACATCTAAGGCGAGCTTAGAAAATCACATTGGGAACCTCGAGGTGGTGTAATGGCTAGAAAGCTCGTCATGCTAGAACAATTACGAATGAGTAGTGAGTTCGATCCTCACTGGGTGCCTCATACTTTCGGCCTTGTGCCACATCTAAGCTATGCTTGGAAAATCACTTTGGGCACCTCGGCGTGGTGTAATGGTTATCAAGCTTGTCTTACTAGATCATTTACTACTGAAAAGTGAGTTCGATCCTCATTAGGTGTCCCATCCTTTCGGCCTTGTGCCACATCTAACCTACGCTTATAAAATATATATATATATATATATATTGATTTAAAAAGAAGTTTCCTTAAGAATTCTATCGACTATACAAACACTTTGGGACAAGACAGAAGGTGATATTAACAAGAATTAAATAGTAGAAAGATGAGGGAAACTTAATTACGGAACACGACTAAAACAATTTATTAGTAAAAATAATTACCGAATAAAATATAACAGTTCCAGTGAGTATAAAAGAAGAAAAATATTACTCATGTCCCCCAAATAACTTAAGTGAGTTGGTAAATGTTCCCTTTTGCTTGCATAGGTTCGATTGGTGCATTTTAATACACATTTCTTCGAAAATTTTCAAATGATGAGAAGAACGAGCTCTATGCAAGATGGGGAAACAGTCATCTGTATACTGATGTAAACAATCAGTATTATCTAGAAGGTGCTGACCAACAGCTGAGTCATGCGATGCTTAGGTCGCCCAAAAATATCAACTGGAATTACCTGCTCTTATACACGCAGGAACGTGCTGATCGATACGTGTCTCCAATCTCTGATTAGTTCGTCCTATATATACAGCATCACACTGACATTTAAGTCTGTATACTACGGGACTATTTTGTAAATAGGAGAGAAGAGGGTAACACCGAACGCCTCTCAAAAATGATACGTAACTTCAGAGTCGAAAAACTTGATGTAGTACACACCGATACCTTGTCGGCGAGCACTTGACTGTTTCTAACCAGCCATGGTAGTTTTAGAAATAAGGGACAAAAAGAAGAACGAAAAACTACTGGCTCGTTGAAATGTTCAATTTTGCGTTCAATGGTGGGTCTAATGACATTCATGGGAAAACCGTTAGCAATGAAAATATTACGGATTTTTCTCCAGTTCCTGATCAAGGGTACATGGGGAAAAAACTCTTCAACGCACGACGGACAAGAATAGAAAACCAAGTTGATCTTATGGGAATAAAGAACAAAGAAATTCCAATTTGTATATAGAGGAGGCACGGTGGAGTAATGGATAGCGCCTTGGTTTGAAGAATCGGAGAGCCGAGTTCGAATTCAGTCGGATCCATTACATTCACTTACGTGCCCTTGGGAAAGGTGTGAATCCTCTTCTTCTCCCTTCAGCTATGGGTAAATAGCAGGACAGACTGGGTTCTATAGCTTTGGATGGCAACAGGTCTAAGAGAAGGACAACTCTGAAATCAAAACCTGCGGAGGTTCGTTTGGGGACCTTGTGGCACGTAGTGCACCAGGTCTCTGTAATCGGCCCTTCAAAAAGTGTGGATGGTCCTGCACGAAACCTTCACCACTATAATCAAATCTCATGTGCTATACATGCAAATTCCAAATTCCCATGAAACTCTAATATTGGAGCCGGCCCAACCCACCTCGGGTGAATGCCGTTACAGGTAGGTACAGGTAATTTGTATATAAACCAGTGAATGTAGGTTTGCGTTAAATGCTGGTGCTGAATAAACCATCCTTATTTATGTTCAACCAAAATATCCAAGAACACGAGTGTACCATCGCTTTCCACCCCCACATAGTAAACTATATATATATATATATATATATGTGTGTGTGTGTGTGTGTGTGTGTGTGTGTGCAGTTTACATATATAGATATGGACCATTTAATATCAACTCAGACAAGTTTACAGAAGTTACCATGGACACTGTCTCATACTTTAGTAAAATTCTAGTATATGCCCCCCCTCCAATAAGAAACGAAAAAAATTCGAAAGTTTTATCTCCCTTCAGCTCTCAGTTTAAGAGATATGGCCTCTTGGAATTTACTGTCAATTTTTGCTGATTTTTCATAATAGTACGATTTGTTGAATTTAGCGCTTCATAACTTCACATTCTTATAATATACTGAGTTGATATCCTATATTTTATACAACAGACAGAGAATGTCTAGTAAGTATTTTAGTGGGTTTCTCGTGTTTGAGTTGGAAACTTGTAAAGGTTCGAATTCTGCCGGAGAACGCATATTTTTCTCTAAGATTTCACGAATATTCAGTCCGGTAGATAAAAATAGGTAAATATACTGTTTAATAAATAAACAGGGTGTCTACTCAAATACAAGTATCCACTAAAATAACGGCTAATAAAAACCTTTTGGATTAATAAATAAAAAAAGTGCATCCCCTTCTTTAGAAATTGCTTTGTTTACGTTAAGATAGGAAGCTGAACAGATATGTCTATTTCGAGAGTCAGGGGAAAATCTGTATTTAAAGCAATATTCAAGTTGGCTTGACCAGCGACGCACTCCATGCCTGAGAGGTCCAAAGCACGCCAGATCTAATGACGACTTCCCCTAGGGGATGCGGGTTCGAATCCTGCAGGAGATCTCATATTTTTGTCAAATAAATGCGTCAAAAAATCTGTGATATACCAATGCACTATCTCATCTATTGAGAGTCCTAACACTGATAGGATATACACTGGGTCAACGAAGAATGAATATAAAATTAGATGGAGACAACACAAAAGCTCCTTCAATAATATTAGAAATCAGACATCACTATCCAAATATTTTTGGCATTTAAAAGAAATGAATAAAACTCCAAAAGTAAAATGGAAAATAATAAATAGAACAAGAACTTGTAAAACCTGGGATGACCCATGCCCTTTATGCCTACATGAAAAACTACACATTATTAAATTTCTAAATAATGAAAATTTATTAAACCATAGACATGAGTTAACGGTTTTTTGCCGACATCAACTAATTTTCGCATTAAATAATTATCATAAAAAAATATTAAATTTCATTGTTTAATAAAAGGCTTAAAAGCTTAACCCTGTCATTAAATAGGAAAAACCCTTTATGAAGTCGTCAAAAAACAAATAGTAGTTCAGTGCGACGCGTTCATATATGAAACAGTCATCTGGATAATAAATAAATAAATAGATAAAATAAAATAAAAGAAAATTCTCTAGACACTTCACTACATAGCATGGTGCCAAAAAGCTATCTTTGGCTGTAAATGACCAGACGATGTGGGTGCATGAACGCCATCATGCTCTTTGAAATGGATACCCCACCCTAACTCGGCTTGACCTCTTTCCGAAGGTGACTGATATGTGGATAAAAATTAACTCTTAGGCCCCTTATCAAAATGGTCGCCCCAACCGTTTCCATAGTAA